GGTTGTACACCTGAAAAATAAAAAAAACAAGATAGGGCAGTCAGTAATGCATTTAGGATCCTGCCCATCAAAAATACATAGAAATAGGCCAAGGTTTGGCAAAATTTTCATTTATTTCTAAAATTCACTTATGTAAAATTCCCTATTCTTCTCTGAAGCCATGTATATCAAGGACTGGCAAAAAACAACAACAAAAAAACCAACCAAAAAAACCCCAACAACCTGAGCTCAGAAGGAAAGTGATTTTTCCAAGTCACAAAGCTAGAAGTGAAACTCAGGTCTGACCAAAGCCAATGCTAGATCCATAATACACTGATTTTTCTTCCTGATAATGAATGGGTGGTAGGGACCTCAGGGATTGCTTCAGTGATGGACAAGTACCTTCCAACTGGACTAAAGCATAGAGCTTCTGATATATGGATAGAAAAGAGGTCAGTATGTGATCCTTGGATGTGAGAAAGGAAGCAGGGTGTCCCAGGAGTGAGTGGCCACCACTAGTGAAGTTGGATAGAAGACAAAGATAGCATATAGAAGGAGGCAAGAGGAAAGAACCAAAGACTGCCTTTTCCACTGTGCTTCTCCACATGAACCGTTATTTTTCTTTACTGTTTAAACCCATTTGAGATGGTTTTTCTGTTACACCTGAAAGCACCTGAGTTGATGGCTGATGATGAAGGCTTGGAAATACATAGCTAGGAAGGAAGGACCTAGGAATTGCCTAAGTCTCTGATGAGAAATTAGAATCCCCAAACCATCAAGTGACATGTCTGAAGTCCTGCAGGGAATGAATATTTTACTTGAGGGGGCTGGGTGTCACCTAATACACATACCAACCCCCCACCAAAGCCTAAGCCTCTAGATGATGATCTCACAGCCTCTACCCAAGTGAATGCCTCCAGGAATGGGGCCTTACGGGAAGAATCCTTCAATTCAACAAGGGCCTGAATTCAGAGAACTGGCTTTAGAGATGGCTAAATGGGATTTCTTACATTTGAAAAAAGGAACATCACTTTCTCCCAGGCGGGCCTTTAACCATGAGCACATATGTACATACATGTATGTGACCCAACCAGGGACCTCTGAATTTCTGCAGCAGTCCAAAAGAGAGGTCTTTTAGAACTCCAAGTTTTCTCTTCAGGGTCTCAAGCTGTTAATGCCTTTAGGCTTCTCACACTCACCCTGGGTCTGGAGCTGTGGCCCCATGCAAAAACGCATGAAACATGGGATAGGAGCCCTATGTATTACAGAAAGCAATCTGGTTTCTCTGCTTCATTAAACAGCCTGGGACAAAGCTCACTGCTTATAATAAGCAGTTAGTAGGTGGTGGAGGATAGGGGAAAAGCAGCTAGCTGGGAGGTAGAGTTGGTTCCTATGTTACTGCTTAGCTATTTAACCAGGCTGCTGGTGACTCTCAGCCCAGTTCATATGCTCTTCAGGCTTTGCTTGGCTTCATGCTGGGCACAGTGCTAGCACTCCTCCTCCTCAGGCATGGGCAGTGCTGTGCTAGCAACCCTGCACCCCTAACGATGTCTAACGCTGGAGCAGAGACCAAGGTGACACGGAGCTAGGCCACTTACTAACCGCGGCTTGGGGGGCATATGAGCTTGGAGCACTGGTACTGCCTCTTCCCAGCCTCCAGCCCCCAGCCCTGTAGCTAATGAGAGGTTTAACAATGGTCCAAAAATGGAGCTCAATCAGAAGCTGTTGCAATGGCAGCTAATAATGCAAAAAGGTCACGGATTCCTCATGAAGGGTATGGGTTACGGCTGGGTACGAAGAAGTACCCCCACAGAAGTTTCTTCCCAACCTAACACCTACTTCTTCACTTTGAACAAAGTGTTATCAATTCCTTTTATAGGGAAGTCCTGCATTAAAAGAGATATACTGTGGAATTTGGAGCACACAAAACCCAGAAAATTCACATTATGAGAGGAATTTTGGCTGCCACAGATAGCTTTACTAAAGGGTTTCTTTCCATACAGTTCCTCTACTGCATTAAAAAGCTGATTGGCTGTTGTTACCTAAGAGAGACAGGGCAGCTAATGACAGAATCCCTCAGGCACTTTAAGATAAAAGAGACTAAATTAATTTTAATGTTAATGGAAATACATAATTAGAATGCTCCAAATCTGAATAATCTAGTATTTCAAAACCTCTGGCAAATAGGCATCAAATCCAGAACCTTGTCGCCTGGCCAGTCCAGGCAGACTCCAAGTGGGCATTCCCAGAATAGCCCAGCAGAGTCACCAAACACCTCACAGCAGCCCACCTCACGCCTTTCTGTTCCACTTTGGTCCAGCTGTCCCAGCTTCAACCAGGCCCTCGCACACAGGGCTGAGAAGCCAGAGGACATTCCAACCCTTCTCAGCCTCTGAGGGAGGGGCCTTGGTTGTTATCCTGGACTGGCCATTTGAGTCTGAGTCACCCAATCAAGCAGGGAACCACCACTGAGACCCAGGGAAACAATCCCAAAATTTGAAAGTAGGCTCTATGGGCAGGAAGAAGGGAAAAATAAAAAGCTAAGTGTAGGAAGAGGTGATGGATTGCTGCCCCAGCAGGGGTGCCCCCAGCAGCTGGACAGTTAAGACCAGGGCAGAGCCCTAGCTGGTTTGACTCAGTGGATAGAGCGTGGGCCTGTGGACTGAAGGGTCCTGGGTTTGATTCCGAGCAAGGGCACATGCCTGGGTTGCTGGCTCGATCCCCAGTAGGGGGCGTGCAGGAGGCAGCCAATCAATGATTCTCTCTCTCCTTCTCCCTTCCTCTCTGAAATCAATAAAAATATATTCTTAAAAAAAAAGACCAGGGCAGGGCCTCAGAGGTCAAGAGCAATCTTTCTGTTCCCTTCCCAGCTGTCCAGCAATGCTGCTGGACAGAAAGAAGGTGGAGGTGATGAGCAAGAACTCCAGTCCCAAACAGGGAGGGTCACACAGAGCTGCAGCAGCTCTGGACCTGCCCCAGGAAGCCTGGGCATGCAGACAAAGGTGGGCAGTAGGTATACATGGAGAGTGTGAACAAGCACAGGTACGCCTGCTCAGCACCCTCCACAAACTCTCCCGTGCGGTCAGGGAGGTTGTGGTCTGTTTAATAGATTCAGCTACAGCACAGGCAGACATGTTAGTGCTCCCAGCTAAAGGGCTCACCTTCAGAGGTGAGTGCCTAAGACCCATCTGAACAGTGCCATCTGGAGCTCTACTACTTGTCTGCTCTGCCTGAGTGGAGAGGGGCTCTTCCCTATCACCTGCTTTTGCCCACAGAGAAAAACCAGGGGATGGTGATGAGGAGAGTTCCAGAAGTTTTGGGTTTTTCCTTGTAAATATGCTTGTGACTTCGGGGCTCATTTCCTCCTTGATATACAGGCCTAAACTAGGCAGATCAGGCTCCGATCCAGGGTGGACTTCAATGCTTACTCTCCTTTGTTATTTTTTATTTTCTAAAGTTTATTTAATGATTAATTTTTCTTTTTGTAAATATACATATTTTTTTATTTATTTCAGAGAGGAAGGGAGAGAAAGATAGAAACACCAATGATGAGAATCACTGATTGGCTGCCTCCTGCACATGCCCTACTGGGGATTAGGCCTGCAACCCGGGCATGTGTCCTGACCGGGAATCAAACCATGGCCTCCTGATTCATAGGTCAACACTCAACCACTGAGCCACACTGACAGGGCAATACTTAAGCTATTTCTGAAATGCCCATTTCTCCCTAGAATTTATTAAGGACCTCCTAAGTCCCACACTGCTTAGTTTTCTCCAGAAGGGTCAGACATTCTTTTTTTTTTTTAATTTTTTTTAATATATATTTTATTGAATTTTTACAGAGAGGAAGGGAGAGAGATAGAGAGTTAGAAACATCGATGAGAGAGAAACATCGATCAGCTGCCTCCTGCACATCTCCTACTGGGGATGTGCCTGCAACCCAGGTACATGCCCTTGACCGGAATCGAACCTGGGACCTTTCAGTCCGCAGGCCGACGCTCCATCCACTGAGCCAAACCGGTTTCGGCAGGGTCAGACATTCTTAAGGCTTTAGAAAACAAAGTAATTCACAGAATTCTTTCCCTGGGATATGGCATGGAAAAAGAGGTATGGAGTCAGCTCAGAAATGCTTTCCCCAAGTGTCAGACTATCCCTCAAACCTAAGCCCTGCCCATGCTCAGCTTTAATCTGATCTAGGAGACATCATTCCTGCAGCAAATCCAGCCACACCTGTCCATCACGGCTGAGCGGCTCCCATTCTAGGTATGCAGTCTCCTGAAGTTCGCCCCAGCCTCGCACGTCTAGCCTGCTCCCTATGATCTGTTCTCCTCTACCAATTCAGACAGAATGTGAGAGCCAGAGGAGACTCAGGATCTAGATCAGGGGTGGGCAAACTTTTTGACTCGAGGGCCACAATGGGTTCTTAAACTGGACCGGAGGGCCGGAACAAAAGCATGGATGGAGTGTTTGTGTGAACTAATATAAATTCAAAGTAAACATCATTACATAAAAGGGTACGGTCTTTTTTTTTTTTTTTTTAGTTTTATTCAGTTCAAATGGGCCGTATCCGGCCCGCGGGCCGTAGTTTGCCCACGGCTGCTCTAGATCCATCTCTTTCATGAGAATGTGAGGTCCATACGGAAGGGGGTGGGGTAGTGGGCTGAGACCTGCCAGAGGCAACAGGTGAAGGCAGCTCCGACTCTCTGCCCATCTCATCACAACCACAACGCCTTCTGAATTCCCGATCTGCCAGGGTTCTGGAAAGGAGTCTCAAGCCACTCTGCAAAACAGCTCTTGCTCTGTACCCAAACATTAACCCATCCTTCAGACAATGAGTGGGTCTCCAAGCTTGTCAATTCCCCCTAGCCTCCTAGGTATATCGCCCACCAGGCTGCATGCCAGGAACCCTGTCTTAAGACTGCATCCGAGGCACCACCTCAGGTGCTAGAACCCTACTCTCCAATCTTATTAACAGGGGAGGGCTGGCCACCTCCTCCATTAGAGGCTCTGGAGCTCCTCACCTGGTTTTGGGGACCTCCAAAGGACTGCTACCTATCCTGAAAAAGTTGTCAGAATGGTTCGAGGAGGAGGAGCTGGAAGACTTGGCTTCTATCAGCCCCTGATGGGAAGGCAGGCGGTCCTCCGAGGGCTGTGGCCGGTTCCAGAGCACACTCTGTGGAGAGGATGAGTGGCTCTTCCTCCTGCAGTGGAAAGAGTAGGGCTGTTGGCCAAGGGGCTGCCCTAGGCAAGCCCTTGGCCTACTTTCACCAAGTCTCAGAGCCCAGTCTTTACTTCCAGTGGGAAAATGCCACAGGGGAGTGGGCATACATCAGTACTACCTTAGGCTCGGCATGGGCAGCAAGAGCAGGGTCATCACAGAAGAACTGTGGCATTCAATTAATGCCAACTGGCCTTAGAGCACATGTTACAAAACAGATCCTTAACTAAGTTCAGTAAAGGCCCCTCCCTCCAAATGTTATACAAAATTTTGAGCCATTTGTCTAAGGAGAAAGTCATCAGATTCTCAAAGGAGTTGACTCAAACAACTCCCCAATTCCCAATCATCATTTTGTACTCACATGTTTTCTTTTTTCCAAACCCCCCCCCCCCCACCCGCCCACTTCCCAGGCAAATAATACAAGGGAGCTCCTCCAGGGAGTCCTTTAACATTCAGCTTTCCCTCACCCAGCCCCGTCGCTTCTCCCTTTATGCTCCTAGGCCACCACAGGCAGTGCCCCTCACCAACCAGATGGCTGGCCTCCAAGGCCCAGAAGAGACAGCAGGGCATGGAGCTGTGCTCTTAGTCCTACTGTCATGGGCCCCTTTGTTCCTGGGACTCCCTGGAGCTGGTGACCCTGGGCCACAGCTGTGAGCAAGCTTAGTTCCAGCCTGGCCCCTCACCAAGCTGCTTGAGTCTGTGCTCCTGCAGGGACCAGCTCTATGGCCTCATAGGTGAAGCTCCCAGCGGCTCCTGGGGAGCTCTCCATGACCAGAGAGAAGTCACTGCCAAGGCTGGTGGTGCTGCCACGGTCCTTTCGTCCTGAAAGACGCCAATGCCATCAGTTCACCACATTATCTTCTCCCACTACAGGTCCCCCCCCTCTTTCATACCATATAACTGGAGAAAGTCGTTTCTAGAACAAACAATTCCTGTGTGGTCTATACTGAGAAAAATGCACAGAGGAAGGGAAATCTGCTGGGGCCTGTGACTCACTCAGCATGCAGATATCTTCCAGGGTGAAGCCTGAATCCCGGGCTGGCAAACTTTTCCTCCTGTAAACAGTACGCAGAATGGTGAATTCTGGATTGGCCTGGGGTCTCCTATGTCCCCTCCCCCACACGCAGCCTACCTGGGAAAGGAACTCCAACCCCCCAAGGCAGCTCATGGAATCAGGTCTACTGTGTTGCAAAATACCAGATCCACTTCAGGCAAAGCCTACCTCCTCCCTGTCAGTTTGGCCCCTTGAGAATTCAAGTCTGGCCACACACACTGGGAGCTTGGATTTGGAAGGCAAGGGAACTCAGAAAAGCCACCAACTCTCACAGGGGTCCTAAAGCAATTGCCAGGCTGAGAGCAGACTCTGCGGGCAGTGATGGGCTGCACAGTGAGTGGGTTTCACAGTGAGTGGCGCAGACACGCCTTGCAGTAGCCCAGGGAAGGCAACAGTCCTCTCAGGCAGAACTGGCTGCTTTGGCTGGGTGCGGGCAGTGGAAGTCCTCCTGTCCTTGGGCTGGCTTTTCCTACAGCGAATCACCTTGTTCTCCGAGCTCTCAGAACCACTCGTCTGTCCGCAGGCCTTTCGGACAGTGTAAGTGCAGGCTGACCTCAGTTATACCTCAGAAGAGCCTCTCCGCCAGGGATCCCTCCCCTGGCCTCAGAGAGAAGGCTGGAAAGGCCAGCTACCAAGCATGCAGGGAAGCAGGGCAGGGGCCCTTCCCAGAGTACCCTGGTCCCAGTGTGAGAGAGCAGGCTTCTTACCTCTGTGTCTTCAGAGAAGAGAACTCCTCAGAGATGATATGCTTCAAAAAATTGAAGCAGAAGAAGAAAATCTGAAGAAACAAAAAGCAGTACCCATGAAAACACAGCCTTCTCCAGAGAAGAATCTAGGGGGCAGAATGCCCAGGAGTGGGCAGCCAGCCCCCCCTAGTCAGCCCCCTGCTGGATGGCAGCCCTGTTAGGGACTCTGCTGGATATTCTGGTCTGTAAATGGTACGGGTGGTAGTGAGGGCTTAGCAGGCTAGGCAAATGCACTTAGGCTGGGGTAAGGGAGGACAGGACTGCAAGAAGGTAAGCCATGGATTTTCATACTCTTCAAATTCAACATGCATGTTCTCAAGCTACTGAAAAGGACGAAGAGCACAGCAGCTTCCCCTCTCTGCCTCCCCCTAAGAACCCCAGGGAGAAAGGCTAACAGAGGACAGCTGGGACAGATTACTTTGAGTCAAGGAGATTAAATGAACACCAATTAAGGAACACAACAGAAGGGAGAGGAATCAGATTTGGTAGGGGGGACGCCCAGAAATAGTGATTCAGGAGAACCAGGGGTGCAAGACAGCCACTGTCTAGCCCAGAGCCTATACTGCTCAGGAGTTGTGAGGGGCAGGTCTACGTCTGAGGTGGGCAGACAGGAGAAGGCTGCTGACCTATCTCCACTGACCTCTCTTCCAGCCATCACCCTAGTCCAGTGATGGCGAACCTATGACACGCGTGTCAAGGGGACACGCGAACTCATTTTTTTTGGTTGATTTTTCTTTGTTAAATAGCATTTAAATATATAAAATAAATATCAAAAATATAAGTCTTTGTTTTACTATGGTTGCAAATATCAAAAAATTTCTATATGTGACACGGCACCAGAGTTAAGTTAGGGTTTTTCAAAATACTGACACGCCAAGCTCAAAAGGTTTGCCATCCCTGCAGTCAGATGGACCGCCATTAAATGCACACAAGGCAGTCTTTGCCGTTTTTAAACTCCCCAGTGATTCTGGAAAGTGTAGTCCATGTACCCCTCATGGTATCCCAGAGCCCCATATAATCTTCTCAAAGAAAAAAGAGGGAACATCAGGTCAGTATGAAAATGTTGTGTTACATAATATTAAATAGGTGTTTTCACCAAAGACTCTTAGTCTTTAATATGCTAATGTGCTGCAAATCTCAAAGACAGGGGAGATGAACAGAGTGCTATTTAATAGGCCTCTGTTTTTTGTTTTTATTTTTTAAAGCATCAGTGCCTTCCTTCATTTTTTTAAAAGATAATGTCAAGTCTAATCTGCCAAATACACAAGCTGGATTTGTGTTTGCCTGGGTGCTGCATAGTAAACAGAGGTGTCTTAAAATAATTGATGGGTAAGGTTAAGAATGGGCCTGGCCAGAAGGGTGGGAATGGGGCGGGGAAGGGCAGAGGGGAGGCCTCAGTTAGAGAAGACTGGCCAGGGATGAGTGTGACCCTCAGGGACTCAGAGGGGACGCCTCTGAGTTAACACGCAGTCAACACCAATGGGCTGGTTGTCACAAACTCGCCAGCTCCTGCCCCCAGCACAACAGCCCCCTACTGAGCAACCTATTGGAAAAATGGAAACTCTTCTTACCTCACCTCCCAGGCACCCTCAACAAGGGTTATGAATTATAAAAACTGCAGACATTCGAACGGTTACATATAAAATGCTGCCCTGCATCTTTCTGTCTCAAAGACAGCAGCTGCCCATTCCCTCATCTCACCCACCATCTCCCTCATCCTCCCACAAAAAGATGAAGAGGAGGCCCCAGGCTGTGGAGAGCCCCTCATCTTGAGGGGCTGCTGCAGCGAAAAGTATCAATGGCTTGAGTGTCCAGTGGAGGTAAGAGAAAAGCCCACACCCTGAAGACCAACACTCCTAGCTGAGGAGAACTTTTGTATATGCTGAAACATGGCACGATTTAAATCCAGACCCCACAGGCCTTAGCCCCATCTTCTGTGGAGTCTCTGAAGGCAGAATCTGGCCTGCTTTGGGGGTGCAGGAGATGGCATGGAGGGCAGAATGTCCTGGAGTGCCAGTGAGTCTAAAACAAGATTGCAGAGGGGTTTTACCTGCCGATTTCAATGCCAAAGTCAATGCCTCTAACAGAGTTCACAGAGGCCTCTCAGGAGCTGGCTTATGAGCTCTGCAGCCCTGGCAGATGCGATAAGTGCTTGGAGGAAGAGATTAGGAAGGGGCAAGCAGCAGCTATGAGAAAGGAACAAAAGAAGGAGGCACAAGATAAGATGCCTGGAAAAGAAGGCAGCCTCAGGAAAGTGAGAAAGATGCTTCAGAATTCTAAGGGGGGCAGGGGACAGAAGAAAAAGCTAACACTGCATGATGGCTCCCATGCTGGGCATATGCACTCATTCTCTTTGTGAGGGAGCATGACGATTACAAGAGACTCAAGGTTATTCACATCACCCAAGGTCACCCAGGAAATAAGTGGGACAACTCGGATTCAAACTCAGGTCTGACTCTAAATCTGTGTGAGGAAAACAAGGATACTCAAAAAGGCAAATACTGTGAAGAACAGCAAAACAGATGGGGTATGGTGAGGGCAGAGATGAGCAGGAAAAAGGGACGACCCCTCAGACAGGAAGCAGGCCCTGGAGCCCAGCTGGCCATGCCTGGTGTGGGGCTGGGCTGGTGGTGAGGAGTAGGGCACAGACGGCCCTGGGGCTTAAAAGTTACTAGTGACTGTGATGAGAGTGGGGGACAGGGAAGGGCATCTGGGTTTTAGCTGAAGGATGAGGGGCACAGAAAACGACTCGTAAATTGGTTACAGAGCTGAGTGCAGCAGAAGGAAGGGGAAAAGAGCTGCCACCCGGTCACAGCAGGTGTGGGCAAGGGTATCTCCCAGTGCAGAAGTTTAGAATGGGGCTACTGTGCCGATGCTTTCCTGTCATGCTGCTGAATCCCAGCACACAGTGGGAAAGCAATTGCCCCTAAAGTGTGGATACCAAACAGACCCCATCCTGTCCCTCTTATGGGTCAAAGAGCCCAAGCGCTCAGAGCCCTGGCATGTGCTCGCAGACTGTCAGCAGTACCCACCTCCTCTCCTTTGCTGAGCCGATCTACCAACATGTGCCTGCAACAAAAAGGCAAAGAGGTCAAAGACAGCATTGCTGAGGCAGGAGGGCATTGGGGGACCCAAGTCACAGGGACTGTGGCTTTGACACCAGCCTCAGGTGGGACTGACCTGCACCTTTCAGTCTTTCTCAAGAGGGTGGGAGTGTCCTCACTTCCAACACTATCCCAGAAGCCACCGCACCCATGGACACAAAGAAGCACAGTTCTCAAGGCACTGTCCCCACCCAAAACCTGACATTCCCCAAAGACTTACCCAAAGAGGAACCAGTCATAGGCCACCGTTAGGTAGAGGACCTCAGCAGGCTTCAGGGACGTGTGGATGAGCCCATCCTGGAGAGACCAGGGAGACGTGCCAAGATCAGAAAGATGCCTTCCCGTGACAAAGGCCCCTCCTTGTTCCAGGGGCTGAACCACAACTACAAACCCAGTGACAAGCTGCCAACAGCCCCAGAGAAAGGGTTAATCATGACGCCTTACTCCAAATCTTCTCTACTTCCTGAGACAGTCCTAACACTCCCAAAGGGTAGATCGTGGCAGGGGCCTCAAAACGCTCCCTGCCCAGCCCAGCCCATCCCATCCATACTCACAGCCCACAAGGAAAGGCGCAGAAGAGAGATGAAGAGGGGGGTCCGATCCCAGCCTGAGATACAGTGTACCAGCAGTCCGCTGTCATCTACTCAGGAACCAAAGAACAGGCCCAGAAAGGAAGCAAACATAGCTGATGAGAAGGAAACGCATCACACCCTTGGCCTGGTGTGAGAACCAGGCCACCCAGGGTCTCCCTCTTCCTCCCCAAGATTCTCCGATCTAGTCCCACAAAGGGATGGGTGGTGGGCACCCATCTGTCTGCGGCATCTCTCTCTTCTTTCTCCTGCTACAGGTTCTCAGGGTACTTTTAGGGGAGCAGTGATGCCTAGACAGTCGCTCTGCCCAGGTCATTTTGGTGGGGCTGACCTGCATGTCACCACCCAGCATTTCTCAGGGAGGGTCGTACAGATATTTTAAGGGAAAACAATTCACTGTCCCAAGAACTTTTAGGATCCGTGGCTAACACCCGCCAAATGCTAATGGCCCTTTCCTATTTCCTAAAACACCCAACTTTCCAAAACCACCCTGAGGGGCAGTACCGCCCCAGACAGAGAACCACTGCCTAGCTCCAGGGACAGGAATGACTCCTGCAAACCTGGCCACAGTAACTGGTTCAGAGATGGGCACTTGACCCAAACTGGGCCACTGACCATGCGGTCTGGGACAGAAGCAGTCTCTTTCTTCTGGGGAAGCTAAAATGGCAGGAAACAGGTCTGGAATGGTTGCCGGCCATGAAGCTAATTAGACAATGGGTATAAAAAATAAAGAGGTTCTTTGTGGTATTAGGCACCTGGCTCTGCTCTTGGGCCTGGCTGGTTATGTAAGCTGATATATTTCTACTTGTTCAAGTCAGTGCAAACCCACAGAATTACTATTATTTTTTAAATATATTTTTATTGAATTCAGAGAGGAAGGGAGAAGGAGAGAACGATAGAAACATCAATGATGTGAATCATGGATCAGCTGCCTCCTGCACACCCCACACTGGGGATCAAGCTTGCAACCCAGGCATGCGCCCTTGACCGGAATTAAACCCAGCCCCCCTTCAGTCCACAGGCCGATGCTCTATACCAGGGGTCCTCAAACTTTTTAAATGGGGCCAGTTCACTGTCCCTCAGACCGTTGGAGGGCCGGACTATAGTTTAAAAAAAAACGATGAACAAATTCCTATGCACACTGCACATATCTTATTTTGAAGTAAAAAAACAAAACGGGAACAAATACAATATTTGTATTTGCATGTGGCCCGCGGGCCGGAGTTTGAGGACCCCTGCTCTATACACTGAGCCAAACCAGCTAGGGCCAGAATTCTTTTTTTTTTTTCCCTCTGCAAACATGGTCTGAGCCAATTATATTTTCTTTTCCATTTTTTTTTATTGCTTAAAGTATTACAAAGGGTATTACATATGTGTCCTTTTTTAGAATTCTTGATTGATATTGTGAAGAGTCAGCTGCTCCAGAGACATCTAATCAAAACAGCCAACTAGGGTAGATTGACTGGTCCTCTAAGGGCTTTTGCATGTGCCCAATAAGCCAGGACTGATTTTCTCTTGTCTTTCTGAATTAAAAGAGGCCATTCTGGCCCCCAACCAAACACTGATGCTCAAACGTCAGCTGGCGCAGTGCAGAAATCCTGTGTGTGGTTCATAATTTTGTTTTCTAGGGTTTTAAGGACATGGAATAAAGGTGCCATGGACAAGGGAATCCCCAAGTCCTTCTACCATAGAGCAAAATATACTTGTGTGGCCCCAGCAAACACACATTCTCAATGTCATGACCTGGGAACAGCCAGGGGATCCAATGGCGGAGGGCTCAGATAGGCAGACTCACCGTCGCTGTTAATTATGGAAAGCAGCAGTTTCAGGTAGTTTTGTGTTTGTTGCACCAGGTCCCAGCTCTGTAGGGGAAGAAAGATAAAAGGGGCCTAAGAATAGATATTTAACACAGACTGAGAATTTGAAGTTTTCCAAAAAAAAATAAAATGCTAAGAGTTACTCTGGGGCAATAAATACTCATGGTCCCAAATCCCGATAACCAGACTTCATTCCCCATTCTGAGAACTCCTTCCACCTTTCCCTGCACCCTCACCCCACGGGTCCCCCTTACTCATGACGGTGAGAAAGGGGAAGCCATGCAGAGGCCTGGGCAGCCCACAGCCCCACACGCACAGCAGCAGTCATCCAGTGGCCTCCTCTAAGCCCTGGGCTCCCACATGGCTCTCCAGGGAACTAACAGAAGGAAACAAAGAGCCTTGAGCTGGTGGCCACTGTTGCTAAACAGAAAGAATCATTCCTTCATTTGCTAACACATCACAGAAACCAAGGAAAATATCAAGCTTCTCATCAACCATGTTTCATTTGCTTTTACTGCTATTCACTGCATACCCTGTCTTTTGATGAATAATAAATGCAGTCTGTTAGGCAGACAGAATCTTTTAAAAACAGGAAGCCCATGAGGTGGGAGATGAAAAACAGGCAAAAGCTATAGAGACTGGGACCTCTGTTCTAGCCCAAGAGGTCTAGACCAGATGCTCTTAGAAACAGTCCACACGGATCTGGAACTCCATGGAGGGGCTTGACCCAGTTTTGCAGTCTCTTCCTCCAGGTGGGGAAGCCTCTCAACACAACCATTTATCCATGTTCCAGGGCTGTGCGGAGGGCGAATATGCCAGTGAGAGCATGCTTCCCGGGGGGAGGGTGAACACGGCACCTGTAATTGGAATGGTTTTCCCAGGAATTTAAAACAGGCTCATTTACGTGACCCTCCCAGGGCCCCTGGCGAGTTCTGACCCACTTTCGCAGCTCCAGAGACAGTGCTGCACTAATAAAGCCATTACCCGCAGGAGCACAGGGTCTCCACTCATCTGGCTCAAGCGTGTCAGACACACCACTGCCAACAGATTTCCTCAGAGCTGTAATTCTCCAAGTGTGAGGAAGAGCAGGAGCAGGAGGCAGGTGCTATGTAGCACAAAGCCCAGGGAAGTCAGGTGGGCTGGGGGTGCAGCAGCCAGGAGTGGGCACGACCGAACAAGGACCAGAACCAGGTGGTTATTCAAAGGGGACACTGACAACCAGGGAGAGGCAGCAAATTCACAATGAGCTCAGTGCTGGGAGAGGAACCATAGGCTGGGGCGATGGGTTGGTAGAGGCTCAAGGTCACAGAGCTAAGCTGAGCTGGGGCATGAACCCAGCCCTGCCAGACTTCGAAGTTCACATTCTTAGTCGCATGCTACACTGCAGGGACTTTCCTACAATACCAAAGATACAAACGTTTGAGGAGATTGCAGGATGTGAGGAAGACCTGGGAAATGCACTCAAATCTAGGCCAACCTGACTCTCTTATCCGACGTGATCCATGAAGTCTCTGAGTGTGGAGGTGAGCGCCAGGCGTCTTATGTTTTTATGTCTGCAGTCCTCTTCCCCCTGACTGGAAAGCTCATCATCTCTATAGGCTTCTTCTGTGGCCACTGGTCAATGCCTCTATTATGCAGGTGATGGTTATTTTGTTGCCTCTTCTCCTACATTGCGCCCAGCAAGGTCAGAGACCATTTTGGCATCTCTGCATCTCCAAGGCTTAGTGCTTTAGGGACTATTCACGGTCAGGGGCTAGCTTGAGAAGCAGACACTGAAAGAGGTCTTAGGGCACAGGAAGAAAAAGCAGACCTCTGTGGATTCAATCTGGTCGCGTGGAGAGCGGCAAGACCACGCGTGTCTTGTCACAAGTGCTCTCCCACTTGTGGACACCACTAAGGGCTGGCCCTGGGACACCATGGTGAACAATGACCTCAGCCCTCACGGGGCTGCAGGAGAGGGAAGGCAAGTGAACTGCTGCAGGTGGACTGACAAAAAGAAGACCTCTAGGATGCTGCGGGACCATGTAGCTGGTGGGGTGAGCCTGGCCTGATCCATGGGGAGCATTAGGGAGCACTTTTTGGAGGTGGTGACATGAATATAAGAGGAGAGGGAAAGCGGATGAGTGTTTCTGGCAGAGAGGACAGCATGTGCAAACCTGGAAAGACTTCCCTCAGGGCTAAAAGAAGCCAGTGTGGCTGGAGGAGAGGATGGCCATCCACAAGAACAAGGCTGGGACATGGCAGCTGGTGGGCCACATAAGGGTCCTGGACTAAAGTCAGTGGTGGGCGTCTGGCTTGCGTGGCTCAGTGGTTGAGCACATGCCCGGGTTGTGGGCTGGATCCCCATTGTGGGGTGTGCAAGAAGCAGCCAATCAATGATTCTCTCTCATCATTGATGTTTCTCTCTCTCTCTACCTCTCCCTTCCTCTCTGAAATCAATCAATAAATAAAGTCATTGGTGGGTTTTAGGGAAGGGGATGACTATGAAGACCTTGCTCCGTGATTTGAGTATTGCTATCTGCGAGGTCCTATTCAAGTGCTTTACATTCACTGTTTCCAGTTAACCCTCAATGCGCCCCACAATCAGACATGAGATTCTCTGAGATTACAGTGGCCTGGACTAGGCTAAGAGAGGGAGGCAAGAAGAACTGGAGAGTTTCACCAGGGACAGAGATTTAAGAATTGATGGGGTATGGCAATGGGCGTGGGGGGAGAAAAGCACCCAATTTTCGAGTTTGAGCATCTAGGTAAGTGGTGGAAGGTCTAGCAGCACTGCAGGCTGTGGCCATTTGTCCAGCGTGAGTTTGAGATGGCTGCCCAGAGGGAAACCTGCAAAAGGTGATGCAGATCACCAAGAGGCCTGGCCTGGGTAACCGGGCAGTGGGCTGAGTGAGTGATGAATGAGATGAGGAGTAATGGGGAGTCGTGGACCCCCATGTGAAGGGGCTGAAAGGCCAGAAACCACACCTGGCTAAAGAGGAGGATGGTAAGCAGCCCATGAGACCAACCAGTTGAGCAACTAGGGAGGCTGGAATCCTGAGAGGAAGCCCTGCCCTTCTACTTTTGTGCCTGGAACGTTACTAGTGTTCACTCCCTTGAGCTAGCAAGCTAGTAAGTAGCCTAGTTCTTAATTATTATCACAAAAATCAGTCTGGCATTTCAGTTAAGAGGACACTCTCTCACAGTGATCATATTTGAACCTCGCCACAATGGTGAAATAGGAGTTAACTCCACTGTCAGAGAGAACTGAGGACACTTGCTCAAGGCCACAGAGCTGTGCGAGAAAGGCTGAGCAAGCGGGGCCTAGATCCAGGGCTTCTATCTACTCAGCAGAACTCCTCCTCACACACACACGACTCCTTTCTAGAGAAACAAACGTCCTTGGCAGTGTCAACATATCGAAACCTACAGTTGCACCTTACTTGATGAGAAAGCAGTTTATCAGATCTAGTTTGTACCCACATAAGGAGAAAGATGTGCCAGAAGGGAGAATAAGTGTGGCTTGGGACCTCTGCATATAATAAATTAAGTGCAGGAGGCAGCTGGTCGATGTTTCTCTCTCATCGATGTTTCCAACTCTCTATCCCTCTCCCTTCCTCTCTGTGGAAAATCAATAAAATATATTTAAAAAAAAAAAAAATTAAGAAGGAAGCCTGCAGGTTCCTTTGGCCACTCACTCTGCCCAGGTAGTCTGGGACTTGAGACCAGGCAGCAGGGCCCCCCAACCTGTTCCTTCTCCAGGCTTCTGGGGCACAACAAACACTGGCCTGCTGTCGTTCCTAACACGGCCATGTAGAAACACCTGCATAGAGAAGGCCTGACACCTCTCTCATTCACTCAAATCATGGAACATCTGCTTTGTGATTAGGGGCTGGATGTGTAAGATAAAAGCACAACCTCTACCTAGACATACCACCTGCTACCAGGAAAACAGTGCAAGATCATATGGGAGCACACAGCTGCCTAAGAGGTGCGCTGGGCCTGAGAGACCTCAGGCTGGACGGGAAATGTCAGACCTGGGGGTGGAGTGAGAGAGGAGGGAGACAGGAGCTTTCTGAGGTGTTCACTGACTGGGCCTTTCCAGGTCTAGGTTCTGGGCAGGGGATGCACAGGCGGTGGCTCCCCATCCTCTTGGAGCTCAGTCTACTGGAGACAGGGAAGCAGATCTCTAAACCAGTGACCACAGTTCAGTGGAAAATTCCATGATAACTATGCCTAGGAGTCAATGGGAATGTGGATACAAGTATGTGACCCTCCAGGTGTGGGGGAGAGGACATCAGGGAAGTCCTCCTGGAATGGACACTGAGCCAAATCCTGAAGGCAGTGTGTCAGCAGGCCGAGGGACCAGACAGGGAAAACGAGGCTACTTGTCCTGGCTGAAGCAAGTAGCAAGGAACTGCTGACGCCTTTGGACTTGTACAGACAAAACACAGCAGACAGATGGATCCAGCCAGTAAGACTGGGGCCTCTTCCATGGTAGCCGGTTACGGAGAGGAGCACAATGGAAATAATTTTGAAGTTTTTACAATCAAATGAGGTCAGACAGCTCTGCACTTCCTCTGGCAGAACACACATTTAAAAGGAAAAATGAAAAAAATTACTGAAGTCCAGAGCTGGAAAGCAGACACAACGAGGTCCTCTGGAACAGAACCCCCTGGTGGACACAAATGTTTGAGTCACGTTCAGAAAGCTTAGATTTTCTGGGCCAAGAGCAAATCAGGAGAGAGAGTAAGGAGATGAGCAGTTCCTCCTTTCCTAGGCAGTGCAAGTTAGAGGGCACCAGCCAGCCTTCAGGTATCTGCATGAGGGACTGGCTCCAAGCGTCCCCTTGGCCCCTTCCCTTGTTCTGCCCTGCTCGAGTCAGGCCCTCACCTGATACTGGCTCCAGTCAATGTTCAGAGAGCAAGTCAGGAATTCGGGGATGCTCAATGGGGCATCGACGTAGTCCTGGGGACAGAAAAAGATACGTGAGGTTTGGACTGGCCATCAGGAGAAGCCCTGGTGACAGGGCAAGTTGTGGCCCTGAAGCTGTGGCTACCACAGACAGCCAGGATGTCCCTCCATAGTGCTTGCCGCTCTGAGCCAGATGCCTGTGCTACCCTGTAAGTAAGAGCTTAAAGTGAAAGGGACCGGATATTGCAGCTGAGTGGAGCTTTTTGGTTGGCAGCTCGACTGTTCACCGCTGAGACAGATTGACCTGTGTTCAGCCTCCAGCAGGCTCCTGTGGCCTGCTCCCACCGACTGGGGAAGGAACAGACGCTGGTCCCACTCTTGACACAGATGGCGGAGCAAAGAGGAAGGACTTTTCCTATTTTGTCCCTGAAAACACCTTTACAGAAAGGGAGAAATTAAAGGGGAAAAGGAAAGTATATATGATGTGAATGTAAACATGTACATACAGAAAGGAGAGTAAAAAGTGAGACTCATTTAGGGAAGAGAAGAAAATTACTTGTTTTCTCCAAAAAGATAGTTAGCTGTTCTCCATAGTTTCCCTGTACAAAGAAACATAAGACCCAAGTTGAAGGTGAATGGTGGAGCTCTCACGCTAGGGTCTGGAGGAGGCAGCACAGCCCAGCCCCGGTTGGGGTGATGGCAGCAGTCCAGGAGCCATGGGGTGAGAGGTGCTCTTTGCCCTGGAGGCGATGTTTGGGGTGGTCACTCTTCCCGCCTGTCCTTGTCCTCAGGGCTCCAGGATTCTGAAGATGGTCTCCCTGTCTAGCCATGTGAGGACACCACACATCCTTTGCTGCCCAGCCAGATTCCCCATGGAAATGCATTCAAGGGAAATTAAAGCGGAGGATACAAAAGACATTCCATTTGAGTTTCTGTTACCAGACGGTGGCTCCAACAGGTGTTGCCTTAGCCTTGCCCTGTGGGGTCCCTGCCGAGTGCTGTCTCCAACATGGGCTGGCTGACCTGTAGCAAAGGGGCCACTGGGTGGTCTGACGGATGCTAGCGCACAGAATCTGTGTCCCTGGGAAACTGTTCGTCTTTGTGGTTAACACCCTGAAAAATGGATTTAGCTCAGTTGGACCCGAATCCCAGAATTATCGCTGCAATGAAGAAAGCCCAACTGAAATCCACGAAGGAGGTTTTGCACTTTTCTGGACCAGACCTGCGGTGGCTGACCGGCCTCTCGGCCCTGACGTGCAGCACCTGCTGAGGACCGTCGCTCGCACCTGCGGAGGCAGCCTCTGCACAGCATGGGACCTGCACCGGCAGAAGGGGCGTTGCCCTGAGCAGCACCAGCACCTGAGCCTGGGCTTCCCGGTGCTGGACAGGCTGCTCTGCGGAGGTCTGCCCCTGGGCGGCATCACTGAGCTGGCTGGCAGCAGCTCGGCAGGGAAGACCCAGCTGGTGCTGCAGCTCTGCCTGGCCGTGCAGCTCCAGTGGCAGCTGGGAGGCCTGATGGCCAGGGCTGTGTATGTGTGCACAGAGGAGGCATTCCCTGACAGGCGCCTGCAGCAGCTCATCGCGCAGCAGCAGCGTCTGCAGACAGATGCTCCGGGCAACGTGGTGGAGAAGATAAACTTTGGTGACCACATCTTCATGGAGCACATGCCTGACGTGGGCGCGCTGCTGGAGTGCATGTGGAGGAAGGTGCCCTGCTGCTGTCGCAGGGAAGAGCGCGCCTGGTGGTCATCGACTCAGTGCGGCCCCGTTCCACTGCAAGATCGAGGGGCCCAGGCTCTGCAGGCGCTGGGGGCCACGCTGCACAGGCTGAGCTGCACCTTCCAGAGCTCCATGCTCTGTCAACCAGGTGACGGAGGCCGTGGAGGTATGTGGAATGCCTGGGGCCCTGGCCCTCGCATCACCTGGTCCGACCAGCTGCTCATGAGGCTGGTGGCCGACCGGCAGCACCCTGAGGGGCCGCACCCTAAGGGTGGTCTTCACCCCTCACCTGCCCCCCTCCTCCTGTTCCTACACAGTCAGCACAGAGGGCGTGCGAGGAGAACAGCCGGGACCCAGTCCTGCTGACCGGGAAAGCCGCCTCCTCGGCCTCCCAGGTCCTGAGGTCAGCTTGGACCCCTTGGGGCCAGCGCCTTCCTTGCCCCAGTGGCCAGGAGCACGGCCGACTGCATAGGTCAAGAAGGAGGCCCTGCATGAGAAGCAGCTCTTGCCCGCCCCATTCCGAAGCGGGGGTTTAGGAAGGGTCTTTTACTTTTGTGTTGTCTCTGCCACCAGCCCCTGCTGGGTCGACTGCCAGGCGTCTTGCGAGAGGTCGGCCCATCTGCCAGGAAAACTGTCCTGGGCACAGGAGACTCCCTTAGAGGCAGGCCCTGCCCGTCCTGGGTACTGGCGGGACCCGGCAGGATGCCTGGCAGGGCCACACAGGCCCAGCTCCTCGCCGTGGCCAGGGCCTTGCTTCCCGTGAAAGCAGGGCCCATGTCAGCACAGGTCCTGCCCCTCTGGGTGCAAACCAGGCAGCTCTGATCAGCTGGTAGTGGGACGCAGGGCCCAGGGGCCTCCGGGGGCTGTGGCTGCCCAGCCCAAGGGCATGGCCTCCATCTGGGCAGAGCCGAGTCTGTCTCACCCCATCTGCTCCCTGCCAAGGCACCTCATGTGCTGCCTGGCGTGTGAGTGGGCACAGCTATGGCCTGGGACCTGTCCCTGTGACTCGCTCTTGGCCAGCCAGGTTCTGAGTGAGTGACCCTCGCTCCTGTACCCCAGTCCCAGCCCCGGAGGCGGCGCCTGTACCTCCAGAGAAGGGGGGCCACCGAACAGCCAGGGACCTGCCACCCCTCGCCCTCAGCACCCCAACCCCAGCCAATTCTGGGGGGGCAAGGGGGCGGCCACCCCTGGGACAGGACCACGCTGTTTGGACACCTTTCTGTGGCAGGATGACCCATTTTAAATGTCATCACATTCCCTACATGCCCTGTGTCCTGTGAGGTGGGGGGCAGGTGTGGAAGAGAAGGCGCCCGCAGGGGAACCTTTCCACAGAGGTGCAGGGCTTCACAGCGGGAAGCGAGGCTTTATTTTTGTAATGAAATAACAAACAACTGCAAATGCAGGGAGGGGGGAAGACCCAAGTTGACAAATATTATTGTTCATACCTGCTTCCAGTTAAAAATGAGCCCTTCAGCCATGTAATCCCGATCCTTATATTCCTTGAAAAATTCACAGCCTGGAAAAGAAGGGCAGAGTTACGACACCACTCTTTCTAGCCCAGTCTCCTGAGATGCCCCGAGTGCTGCAGGAATGAGGGGGCCACCAGCTTCTCCACATGGTAGGCCCCAGGTGAAGCCACAGTTGACCTGGGGGTGGGGGTGGGGGGGGGGACTGGAATGGGCAGGCGAGAGACAGGGAGCAAGCCTCCGAGCTAGTCTGGTTTCCAGTTACATGCCTTCCCAAGGATGTATGACCTGCCTGCATACCTCTCCGTATCTCTCTCCATTTGTACTCACTGATGGAGTTATTGGTTACAACTTTCTCGTTTCAGGTCCCTTGTCCTACATGCCCCTGAAGTGTCAACAGCCAGCAAACAAAAGCATGGTTTACAATTTGAGTCCTGTCAGCACCATCTCAGCAATTTATGTAGTTACAGATCACTCTCCCTCCGCTCTGACACCAACCTTACAGGCTTTCAGTGAGGGCCAAACACTAACGTACCAGAAAGGGCACAGACAGTGCCTGAAATGTGACAGGTGGTCGAGAGAAAAGTCCGGCTCCAACAAACCTGGCCAAGATGTGCTTTCTGTATCATTTGCTAGAAAAATGATAAGAAACTCCACTAGGGCAAATCCTCAGGAATATAGAGAGGAAACGTTGAGAGAAAAGGCTTAGGCAACATTCCCAGCTTTAAATCTCAGCTTTTGGCTTAGCTCTGGGACGGCGAACAAGTTGTTTAAATTCTCTAAGCCTTGATTTTCTCATTTGTAACATGGTTAAGGATAAAGCGAAATAACACATATAAAACACCTAGCACAGCTCTGGTACAAGTGGCATTCAAATGGCAGCACATTAACATCATGCCGCTGCTGCAACAAGAGCCCAAAGTGCCAGCCCCAGCTTACAGTCAGCTGCCTGACTCAGGAAGGATGCGGCTTGCTCTCACCCCTTAACACAGGGACATGCTTGGGCTGCTGTGGCTTCGAGCCACAAGAATGGAGAAGGCATCTTGAGAGTGGCTTCCTGAAGTTACTCTCAGTTCCTCAAGCAGGGCCAACACAAACGTTGGAGGGCACATGGCTTTGGGCACAGGTCTGTTTGGTGAGGTCCCCAAAGGCAAAATAGTTGTTCAAATTCTGTGGAAGTGGCTACAAGCCAAAAAATATTAACATGGAACTCTCCAGCTACTCTTGGGCCAAATTCCTGTCAGAGGTCACCCAGGGAAGAAAGAAAAGGCTCCTTTGGAGATGAAGGTCACATGGTTATAGACTTGGCTCTCATCCCATACACACTTTGCACTCTAATCCCCCAAACCTCACTGACTCAGAAGTCAGGAAACAATCCCCAGCTCTAATACTCCAGCCTCTTCCTGGGTACCTCACTGGGAGAAAGAAGAAATGCAAAGATCAGACGGGGGCCCTGAGCTTATGAGCCCAGGTTTAGAAAACCTAATTCTCTCTCAGTGAAGTGTTTTTTCCCTAAACCCGAGCTGCTCAGATCAACACGGCAGGCTCTAGAAGGAGCTCTGACTGGCCTATGATGCAGAAGCAATTTTTTGTGAGAAAAAATAGAATTAAGATAGACTCAGTACCCAGGGCAATTTCTAACATCCATCACGGAACAGGCTCTGAACACACTGAGAGGCAAGAGGAATGGGACCAAAAGCGGGGTGAGAACAGCTGCACTCAAGCAGGAGACAAATTAAACTCGTGCTGGGAGTTTTCGTCCCATCTATTTCGGTCCCTGAAGGAAGTGCTCCCAGAACACTTCCCATTTTCAAGGGCCAGTCTAAGCTCAAGTTGCTTGTACAGAACTAGAATTGATACCATCACAGTTCCTGTCTGGGCTTCAGTCATTAGAGGGCTCAGCTGAGACTACTCCACCTCAGCAAAGTATATTTTATGACTTGTTTTGCATAATGGTGATTTTGTTTCTTTTCCTTTTTATGAAGTGATACAGGCATGTGAAGAAATTCAAGAACATAAGTATAGCAATTAAATGTGCTTCTCCAGCCAGCATGGCTCAGTGGTTGAGCGACGACCTATGAACCAGGAGGTCACGGTTTGATTCCCGGTCAGAGCACATGCCTGGTTGCAGGTTCGATCCCCAGTGTGGGGCGTGCAGAAGGCAGCCGATCCATGATCCTCTTTCATCATTGATGTTTCTATCTCTCTCTCTCTCTCCCTTCCTCTCTGAAATCAATAAAAATATATGTATTTTTTAAAAAAGAACTTCTCCTGTCCCCTTTTCTGCATGTGCAATGGCAACTCTCCCATCCTTGGCTTTACTTATTTTTTTAATAAATTTTTATTGTTGAAAGTATTACGTATGTCCCTTTTGGCTTTATTTTTATTAATCCCTCTCAATACATAAACTATCAGATGTAATATATAAACATTTTTAGATGTAGTATATAAACATTGTGTAGGCACCTTTCCCCTTACATAGCTGAAATTATACTATACATACACACACCTTACAGCTTCTCTCTGGCATATCTGCATTGCCAACATCACTACCCTTATGCTTAGGGGCCATAATTAAGTAAAATAAGGGTTACTTGAACACAAGCACTGTGCTACCATGACAGTTAATCTGATAGTTGAGATGCATAAATATTGTGGATATGCTGGACAAAGAGATGATTCACATCCGGGGCAGGACAGAGAGGGACAGTGAGATTTCATCACATTATCAGAATGGCATGCAATTTAAAACTTATGAACTGTCTATTTCTGGAATTTTCCATTTAATATTTTCAGACCGTGGCTAGCCATGGATAACCAAAACTTCAGAAAATGAAACCACAAATAAGGGGGGGACTACTGCCAAAACCGGTTTGGCTCAGTGGATAGAGCATTGGCCTGCGGACTGAAAGGTCCCAGGTTCGATTCCGGTCAAGGGCATGTACCTTGGTTGTGGGCACATCCCCAGTAGGAGATGTGCAGGAGGCAGCTGATCAATGTTTCTCTCTCATCAATGTTTCTAATTCTCTATCTCTCTTCCTTACTCTCTGTAAAAAAATCAATAAAATATATTAAAAGGGGGGACTACTGTATATAATCTTGTAGCCTGCTTAGCATCTTTCCATGTCAAAAAGTTAAAGCATTTTCCTATGACTATGTAATATTCCATTCTATCAATGGCTGTATCATCATTTACACATTCGTTATTCTGATTAATGAAAACATTTCCCACATTTTGCTGGTATCAACAGACACTGTGATGAACATCTTTATCCCCAAGTTGGCGGGATTATGGCCTAATGAATAACTGAGTCAAAGTGTGCTAACATTTGGGAGTCCTGTAACAAGTTGTTAAACTACCACAGAAAGGACACTGTGCTATTGTTCTGAAGTAGTGGTTCTCAAACTTCTGGCAAAACTATTTTTTGTAATTAAGTCCTACTTAGAACCTAAACATAAGCAAAGAAAGCAATGTCTGGTTCCTCAGGCAATGTGGACATCTCCTGTTCTGCAGAGAACTTCAGTCTGTGAAGTCCCCCCAAAACATCTCCTGGGAGTCACGAGCCTGGTCTGAAACCAAGCTCTACCTGACAGCTTGAGTGGACATCTGGTTGGCACACCCCTGCCCAGATGCTGCTCTGCTGCTGGCAAGCTCATGGCATTACTGCCATGGTCACATTTGCCCAAAGTGCTTTAGGGAAGAGGAGCTGCTCTGAGTCTTTCCTCCCAGGTACCCGTCATTGGCCTGGTGTTTACCAAGCTCCTGTCAGGGATGGGTCTGGCACTTTAACCTGAAATGAGCACCATTACCTTCATTTTATGGAGGATGAAACATATGCTCAGAAGGCCTAAGGGACTTGTTCAAGGATACACGGTGCTACAGCTGGGACTCAAGCCCAGCTCTTCATGGCACCAAATGCTATGCTGGCAGAGAAGAATGAGGAGAGACTGCGGTGGAAGCCGTTGTAAGAGTACCAGGCCATCCAGGGTCACTGATGAAGAACTTACACTGATGAAGATTCACTCTCCCTGCCAGGCACTAGATGAACTTGTAGTTCTAATGAGAAGGCCTCCTGGCTATACAGCAACCTGCTGTCGCTGGTCTGCCCTTGCTATTGGCTATGTGGCTCCAAGATGAGGAGACAAGGTCCAGCACAGGACTAAAGGCAGAGGCTGGTGCTGAGAAGCAGGAGAGAGGTTTCAAGGAGAAAGAGTATACTTCCTGCTGTTTGTTGACAGTCTTACAATGCTGTTGGGGCTTCTTGGACTTCCTGGCTGAACAAACAGGTATAGCCAGCTAACATAACTGTTGCCAACTGGACCAATACAGCTTTAGTATCCAGTGCATAGAACACTGCCCTTGTCACAGGTCGCACACATGTCTGTGCGCTGGAGACAAATGCAGCTAGCTAGCTCTATGCACACCAAAGTGCTCTGCAACATGGTGAGGCCATCACCAACTATGTACAACTACGTGCAACCGGGGGTATAGCAATGATATTCTCCTACTACCAGAAGAGCCTTGCAAAAAGGGTCACATCCGCTGGCGCCAGACTAGCATGATTAGTTGGTGACCCTGAGTACTCACAATGTCATTTTCTACCTTGCCCGCACAGAGCACATTGATAAACATGATCTCACCTAATCTTCACAACAAAACCCTGAGTTAAGCCGCACTGAGCTCCAAATGACACCTGAGAAAGCCTCAGGCTCAGAGTGAAGTAACTCGCTAAAGGTTATGGTAGCTGAGCACCTGAGCCAGAACTCAATCTCTGGGCCCCTGCAAGTGGAAAGCCTCTTCCAGGACAGTGCCCTACCCTGAGTGTAACCGCCTATGCATGGGAGCCACGGTGTGCTATGCTGACCGACAAGATCCTCCCAGAAAGCTCTGGGACACAAAGTGAAAAGGCCTACAGACGGCCTCCGAGAGCCCCGGTCCTTAGAAGCCTGTCACTTGACTAGACCCTGAAAGGACTCCCTACCTGGATACGGGATGGAGAGGAGAGTGAAGTCGGCATAGCGCTGGGCTTTGTCCACCTTCTCGGAGGATGTTACACTACAAGACAGGACATAATGTGTTATGACATCACAACACAGACACCATTCCCCAATGAGTATTTTAAGAACTTAAATGAACCTCTTGCTAAACAAACTACTCTTTAGAGTTACCAATGATTTCCTTCAGCAGTGTTTACTTTGAACAATTAAGAAATGTAGCTGCCCCTACCCTAACATATCAAGCGAGAGAGGTTACTCTCCCTCTAATACTGCAGCAACCACAACCAGAACCTAAATTTGCAGAACAAACTTCCACCTAAGTCCCACAAGTGAAGACAGCACAGCCACGTTAACCTGTAAGGTGGTGTAAGATGAGAGCCAAATAACTTTGGGGGGCTCTCACCTCAATACTCACTGAGGACACTCCTAAACAGGGGGAACAAACAGCATCTGAAGGGTAAAGACTTGGGACTGTCCTGACAGATGGAGGAGGAGGGATAAGAGATATTCAGGTACCTGTAGAGCTGAACTGTAACTTAACCTCAGTATGCCTTCTTTTCTAGGTTAACCTCAAAATTAAAAGTCAGTATTATTAAAAAATTTTCAGAAAATCTACAATTTTATCACTCTCACAAGGGTTCCAATTTTTCAAGTTCTGCCTTATCACATGAAGATTTTGGTCCATATGCGAAGTAAAAATTGAATATACACTGATTTCTGTTGTTATTGTTCCACTACAAAAGAGCCTCTGATATATTGGAGATGGTGTAGAACTTGGAGCCAAAGGAAAACCTTCAAGGGTGTCTCAGAAGAGGCAACAGAGCACAGGTAAGAGACTCCTGGCTCCATCGTTACTCTCTGGTCAAACTTCAGCAAGTTATTTAACCTCTCTGCGCTTCAGTTTCCTGCCTGCAAGATGGGCAACACTAGAACCTGTTGCAGGGCTGTGTGAAGGTACAATGAAAGGATGACAGAAAGCTCTTAGCACAAGGCCTGACATGTGGTGAGCCCTCAGTAACCGCTACGTACTATCACCAACCCGAAAGCCTGTGAACACATCGCTTCTGCCCATTTCACAGTGGGTGCCCTGTACTTACTTCATGCCAAACTTCACCTTCTTGTTCTCTACCATCAGGTCACAGATGTATTTGACTGACAGGTACCGAAGCAGCTTGATGTCATAGCCTCTGACCTTATCAAAAAGATGTGTGTCGGAACTTCTGAAACAAAGAGCCAGAGGGAGATGTTGCACTGCACACACATTCAGAAAAAAACTGGGGGTTGGTGAGCTTGTTCAAAGAAATACAGATGTTATTGGCAAGAAATTGTTTCCCTTCTCCAGAAAATGGAGGGAAGGGAAGACAGGAAAACTGGTTCTAGAAAAGGTATGGAGAAGGTGACTTTCTAAGAGATTACCTCCTCTGAGATGCATTTCAAAGAAGCAATTTGCAGCCCTGAACCAGGGAAAGGCTTTTTGGCCCAGCTTGACATTAAGCCAGAAGACCCAAAATAATCTCCAAGTTCTAAAAAGCAGCAAGCTGATGGCTGATAGAGTATTTGAGCTTCCACTAGAGTTTATATCTCTTCACCTTTATGACCATTTTTAGCCATGGCTTGCTCATATCGGAACAGACTGAAATTCTTGATGGCAGATGGACTTTTTAAAGCTATCTTATCAACTGACTGTGAGATACTAGCAAGTGAATTCCTTCTCCTTAGCAGGCCTATGAAGCCAGGAGAAAGATAGAATCTTCTTAATCCCCTTTTTGATCAGTCACACAGATTAAGGCAAAAGTAGAACGAATACAGTCCCCATTAATTTTTTTTTTTATGTTCACTGCTTAGCTGTCCCTAGCAGACTCCTCACCAAAAAGTATATGCTGTGGAAGGCGGCCTGTCTGATCTTGGGGGAAGAGCCAAACATTCCTGAGCACAAGCCAGGCCGCTGCTCTCGGACTCACAGGCAGAACCGTAGGCATGGCGTGAGGCCTTCCAGGGACTGAGCCATGATGTGGGGCAGCTGATCTTACTAGGGTGCTCATGTGCATTCCAGAGACACTTGATACTAGTTAAAGAATTCCCATGTGGTGCAGACCATGCGAAGGCCCTTTTCCACAATATCCTATACTGCTGTTTTCTAAGAACATTTGGAAAGAAGTACGAACAGTGTGAACCTGCCCATTTCCTGCCTTTACGGAGGCCTAAGATACTTGTTTGTCTGATTGTTTGTTTTTGATCCTCACCCGAGGATATTTTTCCATTGATTTTTAGAGAGTGGAAGAGAGAGGGAAAGACAGAGAGAAGTATCGATGTGAAAGAAACACATCAATTGGTTGCCGTCTGCACATACCCCAACCAGGGCCTGGGTCAGGGAGGAGCCTGGAACCAAGTTGTGTGCCCTTGACTGGAATTGAACTTGGGACCCTACAGTCCACAGGCCAACGCTCTATCCACTGGCCTAAACCGGCGAGGATCTAAGATACTTGTTTATATCAAGTACTCTTATGCCACCAGTCAAAAAGCTATGGAGCTTCTCTCTACATCTCTCACGTGGGTACTGAAGTGCTTGCCCTGTGCCTCAGCACCAAGTGTGCTGTGTGACACCTGGCCGGCAAGCTGGCCGTGACCACCCTGGCCACAAACTGGAAACTGTAGGGCAGGGGTCCTCAAACTACAGTCCACGGGCCCGCCGAAAACATTTATCCGGCCCGCTGGGTGTTTTTGCCGCCGCTGCCTGTCCTGCTTAGCAGCCGACTCGTTCCAGGCCCGCAGTGCACATGTGTGGAATGTCTGAGGGACAGTAAACTGGCCCCGTTTAAAAAGTTTGAGGACCTCTGCTGTAGGGCTTAAACACACACACAGGTGCCTGGACTAGGAGATTATCTCTGGGATCCTGATGTGAGCCAGGGTGAAAAGAGACTGCTCATATATTCAATAAAGTCTGCTTTGGTGTGAAGCCACATGATGGACTTCAACAACCCTATATTATGGACTTAGCAGTGGGAGGAAGGGAGCCAATCCACTCACCTGGACCAGGGATGAATTTGAATCAGTATGAAAAGGGCCACCACTGGTCAACACCCGACCCCCAACACCAGCCCAGACCCAGAACAACCTGGCACTGACCGAAGAGCACAGTCCTCCTCTGTGATGTCCTCTGCATCCGCCCAGGCGTCATCTGCACCCCCTGCCAGAGAGACAGCCTGTCAGCACTGAGGCGGTGGCTCCAGGGCTCCACCCAGGGAAGTCCTGACCAGCCTGCCCCCAACCAGCTCCATCCCTACTGGTAGCCCTTGTGTCTTTTCAGCACCAGATGCCCCATATACTGGCGGTCTTCTATCCCAAACATCTCCTCGGGTGACAAAAGAAGGCCTAGTCTCTCCCCAGCTTGCTCCCACATGCCACTGTGGCTAGGGGTGGCTATTCTCTATGACTGAGCTCTTGTTCTTAAGTCACAGAGGACACAGCTTAACATTCACCTGAGAAAATATAGTTGTAGCCAGTTCGTCCATACAGCTCTCCCCATCCAGCCAGCGTGGCCGACCTGCAAATGTGCTGGGAGAGAAACAGAATTTTCAGGGTCAGATGGTTTTCTGGGTGTTTTTGTTTTTCCCAGCTTAACTGAAATATAACTGACATGACATTATATAAGTTTAAGGTATACAACATGTTAATTTGATGCTCTCATATATTGCAAAATCATTACCACCATAGTGCTAGTTAACACCTCCATCATGTCACATAATCAGCATTTCTTTTTTTCTGGTAAAAACATTTAAACTCATCTCTCGTTAGCCCTGGCCGGGTAGCTCATCCTGATACACCAAGGTTGTGGGTTCGATCCCGGTCAGTGCATGTACAAGAATCAACTAATGAATGCATAAATAAGTAGAACAAATTCTCTCTCTAAAAATCAGCCCTAACCAATGGAAACAGACACTGGGGTAGTGGGGGTTTGTCCTGGAAGGTGGGAGTGGCCGGTGAGGGGTCAATGGAAGAAAAAAGAGACATATGTAATACTTTAAACAATAAATAAAATAAAATAAATAAAATAAAATAAAATAAAAATAAAAATCATCTCTCTGCAATTTTCAAGTATAACCATAATCACCATGCTATATGTTAGATCCACACAGAACTTCTTGGCCTTATAACTGGAGGTTAGTACACTCTGATCAACAGTCAGTTTTCTGAAGTATGCAGTCAAAAGAACACTTGGACTCCTCTGATTCGTCCAGCAAAATGGGTGCAGGAGCACTCATTGAAGCCTTATCAGCATCAAGGCCACAGCTGTCAACTGGAAAGAGGCCTATATTTAATCTACAGCCTCTGTCAAGGGGGTATCTCCCCAGACGAGAGGCACCAGGATGTGACTACTATGATAGATTTAGAGGTTGTCACACGTGTACTTGGGTAAGATATGGTGGTTACACCATCTGTTCACTGTTTTCATGAGCCATGAGGTCGATGGGGCAGACACTGTTGCTGCTTCATAGGCACAGGCAGGTGAAGTAATGCGTAAGGTACACAATGAGATCTGATCTAGACCCACCTACCTCCAAAGCCTATGGGCTTATGATTACCTGGAACTGTTTAGTGCTGTGTGGGCAACCTTTGAAGCAGGAGGGCCAATTAAGGGAGAAATGCTTGGGGGCTTTTTTAAATTAAATATATTATTTCTTTTCTCAGTATTAAGGAAATGTAGCTACAGATGTGCTTACGTATTCTTTTACTCTTTTCCTCATCACTGAAGGAGTATTTTGAGAGCTAGAATTCTAGAAACCACCAACCGGCATGAACTTCAATGCATCTAATTTTAAGGCTTCATCTTTAGTTAAATTGTGTTCCAGGAGATCTAGTAGGGTTGGGGAATGGGAGGAGATACTGGGGCTGGGGAAGCAAGCCAGCCCAGAGTTTAGCCAAAGACTGGAGGTGGCAGTCAGGGTGGCTGGGTGATTACACTAGAGAACGGAAGCTGCAAGGTGACAGAGAGAGAGGGGGAAGCCATTTCTCAATGTAAAGTGAGTCTCAGGAAGACCACAAAACAATGCCTCACCTTCCCTACCTGTAAGCTAATGGGAGGAAATGGCTGTGCTCCTACAGGAAAGGGGTGTAAGCGGGAACTTCTTGCTGAGGTAGTGGCAGCTTGGGGAAGGGGGAGGTAATAGAAGAGCAACCTGGATTTAACCTGGGGTGCGTGTGGAAAGCAACCAAATCAATGTGTTTCTCTCACATGGATGTTTCTCTCTCTATCTCTCTCCCGCTCCCTTCCACTCTCTCTAAAAATCAATGGAGCACTAGCTGGTTTGGCTCAGTGGACAGAGTATTGGCCTGTGGACAGAAGAGTCCCAGGTTCAATTGCAGTCAAGGGCACATGCCCGGGTTGCAGGCTCGATCCCCAGTAGGGGGCACACAGGAAGCAGCCAATCAGTGAATCTCTTATCACTGATGTTTCTATCTCTCTCTCCCTCTCTTCTCTATTTATATATTGATTTCACACACACACACACACACACACACACACACACATATATATATGAAAATCAATGGAAAAATATCCTTGGGTGAGGATTAACAGAAATAAAAATCAGAAATAAAATAAATTAAATTAAACATTTAGTTCCACAGTTGCACTAGCCACACTGAACTGAGATTTGAAGGAAGCAGGAAGCAAGCACTTAATATACTCCCCTTCCCCAGCGTGGTAGAGGTAGCTGCCCCTGAAGTACTGCTGGCAATAAAGACTGCCCCCACCGCCCTCGTAACCGAGCACCTGATGAGTGCCACACTTCTCTGAGGACCACATCCCCATTTCACAACAGAAGACATTCCTGTGCTTTTCCCAATCTCTCTCTCAACTGCTTGTTCCCTTGTCTTCCTTCCCCACTCACTGAGCTCCATGAGGACAAGACTGTCTTACTCCTCTGTCTGCCTAGAAACTGGCACAGGGCCCCCTACTGTTACATCCAAGAGCAGCATTTTCCTGTGGAGCCGGTATGTACAAGCCGGAGGGCACTCTGCCAGGTGCTGGGAAGACAAGAACACTGCCCTCAGAGGGATTACAGCAGAGGGAGGGAAATGACAGACATTCAAACACACAACTAGAATGAAACATATGTAAGCTGGTATTAAGCGAACACTGAGTCAGGGGGAGCTAAGGGGTATAAAATGGTATCACTGCTTAGAAAGAAGGTGCAAAGGAAGAGAGCAGGATTAATGGAAAAGCCCTCATAAAGATTTAAGAATGCCAAAGCCTCCTCAATAACCCCTCCAACTCATCACCCTGCCTCTGAAATCCGTTGGCTTAGGCTCTTTTCTCACAGGCCTGTTTAGTCTGTTAAGTGCTACAATCTGTTATTCAGCAACCCCACTAGACTAAGCTGTTCAGGGTGGCATTTCCCAAAGGCATTCAGGAAAGTTCCTTACTCATGGTCTGCAGACAAATGAGAAATACCAGACCTGACAAAGCTACACAGGCCTCTCTCCTACGAGACTTCTCAGAGCCTTTACTGTGTCAATGTTTGCGTTATCAACATACCTTATGAATCTGGAGCTTGGGGGTCAGGCCAAACCTGGTATGCAATATTGCTCATTCTTGTTGGACAGGGAATGCTTTTCAAAAATATATTCTTTTTTTTTAATATATCTTATTGATTTCTTACAGAGAGGAAGGGAGAGGGAGAGTTAGAAACATCGATGAGAGAGAAACATCGATCAGCTGCCTCCTGCACACTCCCTACTGGGGATGTACCCACAACCAAGGTACATGCCCTTGGCCAGAATCGAACCTGGAACCCTTGAGTCCGCAGGCCAATGCTCTATCCACTGAGCCAAACTGTTAGGGTTCAAAAACCAGCTGCCTCCTGCACACCCCCCACTGGGGATGTGCCTGCAACCAAGGTACATGCCCTTGACTGAAATTGAACCTGGGACCCCCCCAAGTCTGCAGGCCGACGCTCTATCCACTGAGCCAAACCGGTCAGGGCTCAAAAATATATTCTTAAACTACTGTTTTATGGAACACACTTTAAGAAACAGTGGTTTGAGTACATCCTGTGTAATTTCTAGTAACAAGCACTATGCTCCGTAGAGCAATGATCTTTAAAATAGAGTTCTGGCCCTGACCGGTTTGGCTCAGTGGATAGAGCGTCGGCCTGTGGACTTGGGGGGTCCCAGGTTCGATTCTGGTCAAGGGCATGTACCTTGGTTGCAGGCACATCCCCGTTAGGGAGTGTGCAGGAGGCAGCTGATCGATGTTTCTCTCTCATCGATGTTTCTAACTCTCTATCCCTCTCCCTTCCTCTCTGTAAAAAATCAATAAAATATATTAAAATAAAATAGAGTTCTGGAAACTCCCAGGAACATGAATACTTTCTAAGGAAACCCTTGGCTAAATCTCCCTTCTTACCTCTCCTTTCACATTTGCCCTTCTCCCATTTTGCAAAAGAAAGACCCAAAGGGGCAGAAACATCCTTCCTCCTCACTGCCCTGCCCTGGTCCCGGACCACTCATGCTGGGTAACTGCAGCTGGAGTCTGTAAGCTACTGAGGTGAAAGCTATGGCACATGCACTCAGACACCTGCTCAATGACTGCATCCTTGTTCCCCTCATCTCTTCTAGGCTCTCTACTTTAAGTTCACTATTCCTGGACTAATCTTCCTCAAAATGCTACTTTTGTCCTACATTTGCTCAAGAATCACGGTGGCTCTCCTGGCCAACGCAAACAGATTGATCAGCATCAGCCTCCTGTACTCAGTCAGCTCCAGCACATGCCTTCCATTCCAGTCAGGAGGTTTCCTGGCCTCTCTTGTTCCTGCCTCCATGCCTTTTCCTGTGCTGTATCACCTGCTTGGAACACCCTCCCACTCCTCCTGCCAATTATTATTCTGCTTATCTTCCAATACTCTCAAACTAATTCCTCCTCACTTAATGAGGCATAGTTGGCCAGTCCACACTGCTGCCCCTCTTTGGTGAATTCCTCTTACACCACATCTTGTGACTCTAAATTAGTGTGGTAGCCTAAAGAAGTTTTGGGATAGGTTCAAATCCCAGCTCTGTAGTTGTTTAAAGTAAACTTGGGGAAATTATTAACCTCTTTGAGTCTCATCTGCAATATGAGAATATCAATTATGTCTAAGAATTGTAAAAAAGGTGAAATAAGAACGTATTGGGGCCTTTTGCCTCGTTGCTACAGAGTGAGCAAGATGGGTCACCAGCAACTCTACTGGAACCATCCGAGGAAATTCGGCCAAGGCTCTTGTTCTTGCCGCGTCTGCTCAAACCGTCACGGTCTGATCCGGAAGTACGGCCTCAACATGTGCCGCCAGTGTTTCGGTCAGTACGCGAAGGACATAGGCTTCATTAAGTTGAACTAAGAACTTCCACGAATGAGTCGTTCAAGACAGCTACCTTATGACAGAATGCTATCTCTTTGTACATAAAATAAGATAAAAACGCCAAAACCAGTTTGGCTCAGTGGATAGAGCGTCGGCCTGCGGACTGGGAGGTCCCGGGGTCGATTCCGGTCAGGGGCATGTACCGGGGATGTGCAGGAGGCGGCTGATTGATGTTTCTCTCTCATCGATGTTTCTAACTCTCTCTATCTCTCTCCCTTCCTCTCTGTGAAAAATCAATAAAATGTATTTAAAAAAAAAAAAAAAAGATAAAAACCTTCAAATATGAAAAAAAAAAAAGAACGTATTGGGGAGTCAAATTAACAATAGTCACTAGAATATAAGCTCCATGGGGGTAAGGAATTTTGTCTAATACTGATGTAACTTAAGGCTTTGAAACAGTGCATGGGATATAGTACACATTTAATAAATACTTAATGAATTATATGATTGAAAAAATGAATAAACAATAATGTAATAACTGATTTGTTCTAATCGACTCCATAAACCTTTGATGTAGGCATGATTATTATTCCCATTTTATAGAGGAGAAAATGGCCTTGCACAGGCAGGTCTGAACCTAGGCAGTCTGGCTCCAGAACACAGGGGGAGGTACTCTGGTGTGACTACCCCTTCCCTACCTAGACTTATTATTTTTTAAATATATTTTTATTGATTTTCAGAGAGGAAGGGAGAGGGGGACAGAGAGAAACATCAACCATGAAAGAGAATCATCAATCAGCTACCTCCTCATGCCCCACAATGGGGATCAAGTCAGCAACCTGGGCATATGCCCCAAGCAAAGGTGACCTCCTGGTTCATAGATTGCCACTCAATCACTGAGCCACACTGGCCAGGCCCTAGACTGATTCTTAAAGGTGGTTTATCAGAATTGGTCTGTTTCTCTGGCCTGCACCAGGCACCCAGTAACCACCAATACTCGGCTGGCAAAGGCCAAAAACAAAATTATCCTACACTTTGCATTAAGTCAGTTACCCCAGAAGCGGGTCTCAGGGAGTGTGAGGCTATGGCGTGGTCTTACCTTGCCCTTGAACAGGATCACTGGGCAGACAAACCGTCCTCTGCACCTGGCCATCTTGCTGCGGTTAACAAGGTCTTGCAACTTGCTCACCTGCACAGTGCTCTGAAACCTGACGCACAGACAAGAGAGGCAGGTCAGGCTGGTTTCTAAGGGGGCATGCATGTGTGCGCTTGTTTTTACAAAGACCCCATGCTAGGTCTGCATGTGTATGTGAACACTCATTTGAAATTTAGTAAGTGCTCTAATCCCTAAATTCCAGATCATGGATTATGTTTTTCAGGAAAAGAAAAAAATGCTATATCATAGGTATTAAAATTTAAGTCATCCTGATTTCAGAACCTTTAAAATGAGAAAAAAAAAAAGTCAGCTACTCTGAAGACATGGTATATAAAATACAGAAATATACACAGCAAAGTGAATGTTGATTACTAGTTTTTTCCTCCCAGAGTAAGATAATTGGTGCTCTGGGGACCCTCTGGAAATCATAGGGCCATTTTTGCTGGGACACACACAGTGCATTTCTGGCACTGGAAGTATAGTAGTTATTGCACTGGTTTGGTAAGGGAGCTTCTAGAAAGAGTCAGGTATAGTAATGAGTGACAGCAAGTCACACACCTTTCAAATCGTATGAAATCAGTAGATCCCCACTGACTCTCCCTTAGCTCACACCAGCAGCTCCCTCTGTGCTCTAAATACATTTGATTCTCCCAGGTTGAGTCCTTCCACTGAGCACACTTTCCGCAAAACCAGGGTGGAGAGCATGCCAGCATTTCCCTCCTAGGGGCTCTGAGCAGCCTTTTAATGTAGAGGCAGGCACATTTGTACCTGTTAGGCTAGTTGGTGGCTTATTTTCTTGGTTCCCCTACTCAGAGAACCAACTCGGTTTCTATTCCAAAGTTCCTGTTTTTATTTTTATTCTCTCTTGGCCTTAGCATCTTTATCTTACAGTGCGAAGCACTGAATTGTTTGGCACATGACGCATAGTTGAATGAGTAAGTGCAGGCTTGTGGATTTATGTTTGTTTTGCAGGACTGAGTCTTTACCCTATAGAATCTGATACATCTCTGGGTAGAGTCATTATTGAGTTGAACTGTAGGACACCAAACTGGTGTCTTGAGAATTGGTGGTGTGAGGAAACCCCCACCCCCATACACACAATGGAAATGGGTGCAGAACTATCCCCCAATGCCTCATCTGTACTTCCCTAATTCTGGCTCATTATACTGTCATTGCTTATTTTTTGGTCTGTGTTACCCACTAGACCTATAGCTAGGGACTTCATCTACCTGATAAGACTTCAAATATATCCCCTGGACCTGCCACAGGGCAATAGCTCAACCAACACTTGTTGATAAACATTATGTCTTGGCTGTTCAGAGATCCCTGCCCAGGCTTCTATTCCCAGATCATGGGCTAAACTGGGGAGATGTGTTAAGTGGATTTAACCACTTCCTTAATCCAGTTCTACCCTGTGTAACTCAGTCTAATTATTGTCATATTAACACCAAAGCCAAATAGGTAAAGAAGCAAAATTTTCTACTTCCCACCTAAACATGCATGTATTCCCTTCTCTTCAACCAACAGGCATCACCCACTCAGAATCACTTCAAGTCCTTGCAAGGAGTGAAAAGTAGAAACAAACTCCAGTAACAACTCCAGGTAAAGGAATGTACCACAGTAGCCCTGGCCTGAAAGGTGACACTCTGCTAGACAAGGTGGGAAAGCCCTGATGATGGCAGGAAAAAAAAAAAGGCAGATGGGAACAGAGCAGTGTGAAGAAGACCTGGTTTTTAATCCCACTCTGCTAACTATGTCTGCGGGTTTAAATTTCCTCTTCTGGCCCAGCGTGGCTCAGTGGTTGAGCATTGACCTATGAACCAGAAGGTCACGGTTCAATTCCCCGTCAGGGTACCTGCCCAGGTTTCAGGTTCAATCCCCAGGGTGGGACTTGCAGGAGGCAGCCAATCAATGATTCTCTTATTGACATTCTCTCTCTCTCTCTCTCTCTCCCTCTCTGAAATCAATAAAAATACATGTTTTTTACAAATATAAAAATAAATTTCCTCTTCTGTACAATGGAGGTGATACTATCTTCTTCACTAGGTGGCTGTAAGACTTGAGTTAGTGTCTGAAACTCTTAACATGTGCCAAATAGCAGGTACTTGACAAACGTTAATTTCCTTCTCTTCAAGGGCTAGAATGAATCAGCACTAAACTTATTTCCTTCCCAGAAAAGCCCCTGTGAGGCAACCAAGCAGAGTTCCTAGAGAACTGCTGCTACAGGCTGGTTTGGTATTACCTGGAGCTTGTTAGAAAATGCAGCTCAGCCCCACTCTAGACCTACTGAGTTGGATTCTGCCTTGGAACTAGAGCTTCAGGTGATTCACTCACAAAATCAAGTTGGAAAAGCATTATCTGGACTATAGCTGAACTTAGTACTTTAATGCCATTGTAAAACCACCAGTCAGCACTGGAATGAGGGCGAGGGCAAAGGAAAACAGCTCTTTTTCAGAAACTTTAGGCTTGGAGAACCCTGGAGTTCTTAGGTTGTACAACATAGGCTACCACACAATTTCTATGATCTACATATAATGTTTTTCTAACGCACTCATTTTTCTCAATGAACCCCACCACAACAAGCTCCTGATATGGTACACCTATGGACATCCCATTTTACAGATGAGAAAGCTAAAGCTTATCCTTAACTCCTCCACACTGGTTGTTCTGCTTGAAGCCTTCTTTGACTTCTGGTGGCCCACAGCAGTGGTTCTCAAGCTATAGCATATGTAAGACTGATCTAGGGAGCAATCTGAGAATGTAGATTCTGGAAAATCTGATTCAGGGGTCCTAGAATCTGTGATTGTAATGAGTGTTCAGGGGATGCTAGGAAATAAAATCACTAACACCCTCAGATCCACTCTCCTTGGCCTGATGAGGACCCTGTACCGGCTGGTCCCCAAGGACATTTCAGGGGCACCCTTACTCATCCTTCCAATTCCAGCTGAAAAAAGTCTCCACCATGGGGTCTTCCCAAACACACACCAGACTGCTGGTAGGCCTACAATAGCATTTCTCAAACCTTAATGTGCAAATAAATCACTGGAGCACCTTGTTATGCTGTGATTTTGACTGATTCAGAGTCTCTAGCCAGGTTCTGGGTGCACTGATGGATGGGATGGCCTGCTACACTTTGCAGCACGACTCTACTGCAGCTGCAATCATGGGGCCAGGCTTTCACAGTATTGCTAAAAACAGCTCCCAGAATTCCCTTAACATTCGCAACAAGCAGGGAGACTGGGGGAACAAACTTTGTGATTGGCATAAAGCACTTCCTAGAGCCTAAATGCTGTGATTATTTTTTACTGTCAAACAACTGCTACCATTTACTGACCACTTACAGCTTGCAGCCTGTGCCAGGTGCTTTATGTTTGCTCTCGTATGAAAGCACTCAGACCTTGATAGGCCCTAAATAAATGGTAGCCCTTATTTCTAATTCTCACAACAAACATGCCAGGCTTATAATAACCACATTCTTCATCAGAGAGCGCACTAGCCACTTTTCTAAAGAGGTACACTTACCAGTAAGAAAACTAACAGACAAACAAGGTAAGTAACTTGCCCAAGTTAGTTGCACAGCCAGCAAATAAGGCAGCCAGCATGTAAACTCAGGCAATCAGACTCCGGACCTCAGTCAGGCTTATAAAGCATGTTGATACAGCACACCTCCCATCCACATTCCCTTAAAAAAGGACACAGGTTCAGAGAGATGACGTGTGAAGTCAACAGTCTTAGGACATTTAGCTGCTGTAGAGTGGGAGTGAGATGGAAGTCCAGGGCTGTGACTCCCTACCTCCGTTCCACCATTCGACGCCATGCTGCCTTGCCAATCTTACCTATCAAACCATGAAGTAAACAAAGATGTGGATTAGGCTTAACACCTGGGGAAAGCAAGTCTGACCGACCCAGTGCTCTGCTCAGCTGCAGAGTTCCCAGGTCTGGGGATGAGTTGTCAAGGCCTCCCCAGACAGGCCCACCCTGGTCACATGATGCTCACGTGTCTTTCTCCTTCTCAGAACTTTCATACTCCAGGAACACGATGTGCTGGGGGTAGTGGCCGCAGATATCCCCATTCACGTTTTGGATCACACTGTAACAGTAGTCTCGGCCAAACAGCTCCAGACATCTCTTCTCGATGCGCTCAACCTGCACAGAGGAAGAGACCTGAGTATAAAGAAGATTCTGGGGTTCTGAGTGGGAGAATTGTGGTTTATGACCTGGAGAGTTCACTGAGAATGACATATGCCTCTGTGATTACTATTCAATGCCAGGAAAAGACCTACTGGTGTGGGGGAGGGCATCACAGGCCCTAACTGTGTAGCTCATTAACCAATGTGGTGTGGTATACTTTGGGAGGGACACTGAACCCCTCAGTTAAACCGTTAAGCATTTGAAGGAGAGGATTACAGCTTTCATCCAAGTCTGGCGATGAGACCGAAGGGAATTCCAAGGGTAGAAAAAAGAAGAACTGAAGCCTGCTTCTGATAAAGGACCAGAGAGAGTGTGGGCTGTGCTCCTGCTCTATAGGGGAAGGAGAGGGAGGGGCCTGCATTTAGCGTCAGGCTGTGTAGGAGACAGAATAAGGAGGCAACATGGTTCACCTCTTGACTCCATTCAGCCCCACTACTCCAGCTCCTTCATTTTGACCTTTGAACCAGAGGAATACAGTCTAGACTTTTTTTTTATCCTACCCTGGGGGTTAGACTTTTTAAATATGTTGTCCCTGCCAGGTGCAGGGGAGTAACCCTCCTCAGCTCCTCACTCTGATCCTCGACCTCCAAAACCCTTGTCTCAAACCCAAAGGACTTTCTTCCCCGTCACAGACTGACCTCGGTTCCTCCTTCCTCGGCTTTTAAACCGACCCTTACTCTCTGGATCCAAGCTGTGGGACTTCCTTCCTCGGACCCCTAACCTCAGCCTTTCCGCCTCACTTTCCAACCCAGGAACCTGCTCCTGCTCACGACGCCTATGAACTCACCCTCGAGCCGCCGGTCCCGCTGCAGTCTTTGGCCCGGTACTGAGTCCTAGAGAACTCCTCCAGCAGCTCCCCGAGCCCAGGCTCCTGCGGCGGCGAGGTGCCCGAGGAAGTCGAGGACCCGGCC